TCCATTGCAGAAGACGTAAATGCAACAATGACAATTGGATTTTAAGCCAAGTGGAACAATAGCTACACCATTACATACAATAGGCATTGTGACATGACATGGACATGGTAAATGTAATATTATGGTTATGGTGAGAGTATTTAGCCTGGCGTAATATATGAAGTTTGTAAATTGATTACTCTCGTCAAAATTGCATGTAAACAAGACTAACTGTTGCATATGATACTAGTAACACTCCATTGACCATTACTCCCACATGTTGTAACCATCGATGTGAACGCTTCGTACCCATTGATGCATGTGTATCGGCACATACTTCCATACATCACACCATTTGAGCATGATGACAATTCAGTATTTGACCCAGATGGTGGTATATCACAGATAATAACTGTAAAGAACGAACAAATCATAATGTGTTTAATATGTAGTTGAAACATCAATCGCTGAATTCAATTCCTGGATGATTAAATATCTACTGGCAGATAATGTGGTATCAAGTCAATCATGTGTTAATGTATGTTAAAGTACATTAAAAAAGAAAATACGGGGGCACTGACCACTTCTATGTCACATTGATTAACATTAAGTCTCTCACCTCTACAATTGATTATGCTTGTCCACTGTCCGTTGAGTCCACAAGTTGTGACCAAAGAAGACATTGCTGTATAACCAATATTACAAGTATATGTACATCTACTGTTATATTTCACACCCCTCGAGCATGAAATTAGTCGAGCGTTTATCGCAGAAGGCGAATCACATGCTGGAAATAAACAATGATAAATGCTTAAAGAATAAATGCGTGCATCAATCTAAATTATTTGACCTAAACCTGTGACCTCGTGACAATGATATTATAAGTGTCAAAAGTAAGACATACAGTAACATTGCAATTAAGTTTTTAAAAATGCACTAATTATACACAAATGTTCCGACACACAATACAATTATTGCCACCCGTCACAAATTGTATCTTGTTTACAAAGACGAGCGGGTAAACAACTAAACTCTGCTTCACACATGCACCCTTTCAATTTTCGTTAAGAACCAGTTATTTAGAGAAGCTAACACGCTATTTTATAACCGTGCACAGTTAGCATCTAGCATATGATAGTATAATTTAGTTCAACAACTAAGAGTAAACAACTAGATATTCGCCAGCCAAGGACCATTTATTCTGCCTAAGCCTTAACATTAACCCTTGGCAGATTTCACCACGATTTACTGTATGTCGCACGCCCTCAAACGATTATAAGATTCACTTCGGCTCATTTGCATCACCCAATCAGAACTCACGAAACACATTACTCGGAAATTATAATAATAATAATATATTTATTGCATTTAGATATTGACTCAGAAAAAGAAAATTAGACGAAGATGGCGGTGTTACTAGCTTTTTCTCTAAACGAACTTACTGATCATCAAAAGAAAGCTCTTAGTGCTGTATCTGTGGAAAATTACGTGTTTGTTGCAAACACAGTCGCAAGGAAAATACCGAATCGGACAAGTCGATATGTTAAAAGTTTTGTCAGTTTACTAAAACACAGTTTACACAAATATTTAAACATCATTCATTGCTCATTCACTTGCCCACAAATAATTTCCACAGTTGGAATAAGACATTTTGAAAACGTGTCAACGAATATAGATCTTCTGTTCTTGACTCCAGGTGAATCAGCAAAACATACACGCCACCATTGTTTTAATCTGTGATGAGCTTCTCGATCTTCACATTTATGATACAGCAACTCTGATTGGTGACGCGAGCTTCTTAGCGCGCCCATTGAAATGACTCAATTTAGGCGCAGTAAAATACAGTTTTTCGCAACACGATCACTCACGGATTCATGGGCCAGTTATGAACGGCCGGCTTTGGCGAAAATGTGCGATTCGGACGATGGAATGGTTTAGTCCAATGAATGTACAGAATAATCACTGATATATGACAGAAAATCATATTTGTATAAGCTTTGTATTTGTTCTAGTATTTGAGATTGGCGTGCTCATGTATATAGATAAATATTATATACACAATTCTTGTGATTTTGTAATAACTATTTATATTTTGCAATTTGTATTGCACAATTATCTATATTACTATTAAAGATAAATAGTTTAAAATTACGACTCACTGTAATACTCGCACACATAACCCCAATTTTGCTCTGTGCATGACTCGTCATTCCATTTAAACCCAAGTTCCCTTCTGTAATATAAAAATAATAACGCTATACAGTAAATATGAAACAAATCAAACAAATATGAAACATCAATATGAAATCAAATTGTTCATCCTTAAACAATGAAATATAAATCTTATATATTAAAATTACCTCATCTCACCACAATCTTCTTCACCACTATTATTAGGTTCACCATAATACCAATCTGTATATGTTACACGACCCCCTGTCATGTATTCAAATGTACCTTCCTTGTACAGATCATTTACACCGATCCAAACATTGCCTATAAAACATTTTTAAAGGTACCTTGTAATAATATACTAAGCCAAAAATACCTAACTGACAAACAACATCATATCATGTATCGAAATTATACAAACAATAATTGTATTGGATCATTCAGACACATTCTCGAAAAATTTAACATGTTTCCCAACAATAGAGTAGGTGTACTTAGTAATTTGATGTAAGGCTAGTGGGATTTTCGGAGTGTCAGTGTCACGTTCTTTTTTCTATAAACATATAAAACCCGTTATTTTGTTTAAATCTGTTTGTTGATTTATCAAAATGTTGAATCTTTAAAAAAAAAGTAATACTGTTCATTGAACATACTACTATATTACATTCATTAAACATAGTCAAATTGGCACCATGCAAATATATCACGATTTGATGGCTCGGAAAGTTAGAATATAGATCAGAATATTGTTGCAAATGAACTGGTTGCATACAGTTGTTCATTGCTATTTTTTGTAGATTGCAATTTCCAGTCATATTTGCATGTACCCGGGCATTGTTGATGTGTAGCTTACCTTCAGCTGAAGACAGCAATGCTTTCACATCTGAATTTTCCTGACTAGAACGGATGTCTGCTAGGTGAGCATTACTAAACTTACAATATTC